CCTTTTCTGCTGCCAATTCTGCTGCCAACGCTGCCGCTGCTGCTGCTGCTGCTGCTGCTGCTGCTGCCGCCGCCGCTGTTGCTGTTGCTACCACTACTACTACTACTACCTCATCCTCGAGCATTTCTATCGACCATTTGCAACAATCTACCTCCATCAATTACACATGCTCCGAGTCCTCTTCTTCGTCATCGTACGATGTAACGACGCCAGCAAGCAAAAAGCTTTGTACCGCTCATCACGTCCATCAGTCGTCCCTTGAAACGTCGTTGAGGAGAAACGGAGAGGATGCCATCGGTGGTGACATTAGCTCGTCGCAGACTTCACCTCTAGCCTCATCTCTCATCGACAAAGGTGCAAAGCTCGCCCTAGACACCCGAGCATTAGCCGAAGCATCTCGTAATTTGACGCAGAAATTGAAGCAGCTCTCCTCTGAGGTATTCACCTCGCGGGTCGACCTCGCAGAGGTATACATTATTACCGATGCCAGTTCTCCCTGTCTACATTTATATATTTATATTTAAAATGGTATTATACAAACATTCCTCCAATTTCAATGTCAATTTCAATTTATCATTGAATTGTAGCCAACTTTATAGAGAGCTTTGTCAAACTTTTTATGAAATGTTACTTTTAAAAAAGCATGCTTTTTAATATAGTATAATACTATTAATATATTTGATTATATTTTGAAATCTAGTAATTATCTTGATAAAGAAAGAAAGAAAGAAAGAAAAAAAACAATGAGATTAATAGTTTATTTAATATATATGTTATATACAGGAAAATGCGAGACACAGGCAAGGAGCCATGATAGAAAGTATGCATCATCATGGGAAAGGTGTATATTCTGGAACTTTTAGTGGAACTATTAATCCAGCTCTTCAAGATCGACATGGTCGTCCCAAACGAGATATTAGTACTATTATTCATATCTTAAATGATTTATTATGTGCTACACCTGCGGCTACAGCAGGACACTATAGGCATCATCATAGGCATTCGAATAGTCGTCAACAATGTTCTTCTGGATCTAATGGCGTAGCAAATTCAGGAAATGCAACTTCTTCTCCTGGCGTTGGCTGCCATGATTCAAAAGGATCAGGACATTCGTTGGGTATGTATCGTTTATGAAAAATAGTTTTTATTTGATACATAAAAATGTATATTTTATATTTTTTGTATTTTTGTAGAAGAATTGTCGAGAGAAAACGAAGCTACTAAATGGAAAATGCGACGTTTGCGTTTTATTATGGAACAACGTCGTAGCAAAAGGAAAGCCAGAAAAGAAGCACGTACAGCAACTCATGCTGCACAATGGTCTGCTATGACACCCGATTCTATTTCAAATCATGATACAAGTGCTACGACAGCATCTTCTACTTCCAACAACTCGAACACAGCTGAATCGCAAAACGAACCGGAATTACAGCCATGTAGTCCCGAACCAGTCGTTGCTTGAATTTATTATTATTTTTAATTATTATTATTATTATTATTATTATTATTATTATGATGATGATGATTCACACGCTCATCCTATAATATTAGTACTTTTGTTTTACATTAGATAGATTAATAAGAGACAACAAGCTTCATTGGGTATATCACATTGATTTATAATTGTAGGTGTTATTAATTAATAATACTTGATTAATTTTTCAATCGGTGCGTAATGTACATATATACCTATTAAGTTTTCTTGGCGATTCTAAAAATTGTTATTATGTAAAATATGATTTTCATAATTAACGAAACGACAAATTGAAAGAAAATTGTTACGTCGTAGACTCGTGAATCAAGATGATTATCTATTTTTTACTTTTATATATCTAGATTTGCATTTTGCTGTTGTCACGCGAAAATTATTCGATTCTTTTTCTTTTTTTCTTTTCCGTTTCTCATTTTTCTGTTTGTTTGGATAATATAATACATGTTTATTATGGTTGTTATTACAATTAAATTAATGAAACGGGCGATTAAAATTGAGTAAACTCTGGACTCGACTATAGTTGACAATAATTGTATTTTGCTGGATAAGTCAATGTGAAGTCACTATAAAACTCGATCATGTCAATAATAACGGTAGAACGATTGTTGTAAAAATGAAGAAAAAAATGATGTTTATTAAAGAATTTTATTGGAAAATAGGATGGCACTTCAGCTAGAATGTTTTTACATCTATAGAAATACTAAATACTTCATAGATTAAAAGAGCAAAGAAAAGAAAGAAAAATACAAATAAACAATATTACGTGTAGCAATTAATTCGGTGGTCTTGATATTTAATTCATTGCATCAAAATGTTTTCATTTGAAAAAAATATGTTAAAGAATAAAACTAAATTTGTTTAAAAGGCACCGAATTAATTGCTACACCCAATATACTATATTCACATGATTTTGATCATGACTATCAGATTTTTTGTTTCACATGATATTTATTTGATTATACTTTTACTATTGGCATACAGAGAAATTTGATATAGTAGGGAAATCAAATTTCCAATTTTAAATATAAACGATAATTATAGAAGTTGTGAGAAAAGAAATATTTCAAAAGCAATACAATATTTCAATGAAAAAAAAAAAGAAAAGAAAAAAAAAAACAAATTGAATAGCAGATTTGTATCAGAAGAAAATCTAAACAAATTGTTTTTTCTACATCTAATCGCAATAATTTCTACATAGGATGTAAGGGTTCTTTTACAAATATGTTTTACCAAGAACATTCGTAATATTAATTGTTGCAATGTAATGCAAAAAAAAAAAAAGAGTGAGAAAGAAGAAAGAAAGGAGAAAAGTCGAGCCAGTCCATTCGAGTACTCAAAATGGCGTTAAAGGGTAACACTGTTCTCTAGTGTTGAAAAAAATAAGTATTTTTCCGAGCGCTAGAGTGATATTACCCCTTAATTAATTGTGCATAGTGTAGGGTGATTAGATGGAGCAATTTCTCTACTATAACAGAGTCAACTGAAGACGCGTTAATTACTCTTTCTAAGGATCATCAACACTTTGTATTATTCAGCATAGATTGAATTAATACGTGGTCCTATAGTTATAATAATAAGATGATCCTAAATGCATGGCCCTAATGCTACTTTGTTTCATTTGTTTACGTTTGTTAGGTACTAAATAGTATATCATCTAATACTAGTATATTGTGTTAGATTACTGAGAGAGAAAAAAAAATGGAAAAAAAAAAATTAAAAAGTTATATTATAATTATTACTATTATATTATCATTACTACATTACATTACTACTATTACTATTACTACTATTATTACTACTATTACTACTACTATTACTACACACTACTACTACTATTATTATTATTACCATTACTACTACTACTACTACTACTACTACACAGTTTTACATAAACTGGTTCAATACTGTATCATAAAATTATTCAACTTTATCGAGTACCAAAATAAACGAAATTGCTTGATAAGTTAAAATAATCTTTTAACTATATCATGCCTAATTAATTCGATCTTATTTAATACTTATGATTTTTTTTTCATTAGTTCAATTGTGTAAATAATTTTCTTTTTTTTCTAGTTAGTATTAACAAAATAAATGTTAGTACGAAAAAGACATTTGCGTAAGTGCAGTATCGGTAATGTAGAAATTTACATATTGATTTTTTTTTTTGCAGAGAGTAGATATTATTTATTTTACTAATTAATTCATTTCGAATAAAAAGTTCATGCTAATGAATATACGATTTTTTCTTATATTTCTATTTTTTTTTTTTTTTTTTAAATAGTCAAATTTAAATCGCGTAACATTGTATTAACAATGTTACATCTCCTAGCGAATATCATAAAAACTAAATGATTTATTATCAAATAACTAATGTATTTTTATAAAGAAATAACGAAAAAGTAATAGACTAAATAATATATAGCAAATAATGCGATTCTCAATGCTACTAAATGAACTTGGGAGTAGTATATATATTATTTATTAGAATTTAGATAGAATAATTGAAAAATAACACTATATTCTGATGTCTAATACCTTAGAACGCAAAATGTTTTTATCAGAATCTTCACGTTGACGTCGTCATAGGAAATATGTAATTCATTTATCATGAAATATTTTGAGATGATTGAAGAAATAGATGAAATATCAACTTTTGATATGCTATGGCAGAATTTATGAGCATGTATTTAGTTTCCTTTCAAAAATTAAAGTTTCCTTTTCAAATCTTTCATCATCATATTGAAATAACAGCATATAATTATAATAGTAATAATAATAGTAATAATAGTAATAATAGTAATAATAGTAGTATTTATGAAATATAACAGTTTAAAATGATAAAATTAGACACATTAACGATAAATTTTACTGATACATATTAAAAAAAGGACACTATAATTTGTTGTTTGTGTTATAGAAAAAAATTAGTATCTTAATTTTAATTTCAGCCTTTATAAGTACGTATATAGTATATAGTACGTTATATACTGTTTTTTGTTCTTAACCCTTTTTATTTTATTTTCTTTTATTTTCTTTGAATTTAGCTAAAACATGAAAAATTCCATAGGAGAAAATTTCAGAAGACAATATTTTACATTTATTCAACTTCTAAGTTTTAAAGAGAATTCTTAAGTAGTATATATTATATGATTGTAGACATGATTATGCGTATGCGTATAAATATTCATTTTTAAGTAAGATAGGTTAAACTGAATTGTAAGTAAAATGTTCATATGTACTTTGCAATAACTTTTTTCCGAAAAGTGATTATTCCACTGTCTTCCAATTTTTCCACATTAAAATCAATCTTGATTATTTGGATCTTACGTTGCTGACTCTAAATAGATTATTTAATTATGTTGCGGTGGATCAGGATCATTAGGGTTCCCTCCCATCTGCCTCCTTATGGTCTCCATCAGTTCCAGATTCTCGCTCTGCATTTCCTGCGCTAATTGGAGACCCCTAAAAAGTTGCAAAGTAATTAGATTTATTTAAGAGATTTTTTTTTCTAACTACAAGAATTAGAATTGTTTAACTAACGCTTCAATCAATGCTTCCATGCGTCGTTCTCTATGTTCAACATTTGTTCTTGAAAACAAATTACTTATTATATTTTGCATAGCTGGATCTGATAATATTTGCTGTACCACACTTGTCAGAGCAGGATTATTATACATAGCGCTTAAATCTGGCAATGATCCTGGTGCTCCACCCAATCCACCCATATTACAAACACATTGTCGAGCTAATTTCTCTTCAGCTAATTGTAAATTATTTCGATGACTCTCATTATCAGGCTCCATTTCCAAAGCCTTTTGATAGCTTTCTTTGGCTTCCTTGTGCCTCTCCAAACTTGAATATGCCAAACCTAATCGTCCATATGCTTTACTATACATAGGGTCGATAGATAATGCTGTATGGCAATCTTTAATAGCTTGATGATGATTTCCAAGTTTGCTGTGGACTGCAGCTCGGTTACAGTAATAAACCGCATTATGCGCATTCAATTCAATTGCCCTAAAAATCACATATCAATTTAATTAGTTATTACATGCAACATAGTATAAATAATCAATTATAATACAAAACATACTTGGTATAATTGTTAATAGCTTCTTCGAGTTTCTCTGCTTTGACCAAAGCATTACCCTCATTTTTATATCTTTCTGCTTCAGCTTTAGCCTCTGGTGAAGCTTCCGGTCCAAGATCTGGCTTAGCATTTTCAACAGCAGCTTTGTAAACTTCGTACAAGTTAAATTTAGCAGGTGTATCGCTTGCTTGTACGCTATAGGCTGTTTCTAAACATTGAATTGCTACTTCAAGACTTTCACGGGAATCTGCTGTAATATTTCCATCCTCCAGTTGATGGGTCAGAAACTGAACTATTGCAGCAACTAATCCTTTGACAGCCATTGCGTGTCAAAGAAATGTGTTGATCTAAAAAAAGAAAAAAGAAGCATTACAAATTTCAAGATTATTACATATATACACACACATATATATATATAACAATTATTGTGAATATAGTATAGTTAATCAAAGTCTATCTTTTTTTTATGCGATTTCATTGTCGCGCAACACCGATTACAAAAAATAATGAAGGAATTTTAATTAAATAAAAATCTGCATATAGTTATATATATATATATATATGTATGTGTGTGTGTGTGTGTGTGTGTGTGTGTGTGTGTTATTATAATTAAGTCAATTATAAGGAATATCTTGTAACTTTAGTGAAACCTTTTCTTTTTACTAAATAACACTCTCAGATGAAAATAATACAGTATGTTTCTTGTCAAGATAATCACATTATGTAGAGGATTCTAATTAGTAAGAAAAAAATTAATATAGAAAATATGAAGAAATAGAAAGAAAAAAAATATATGGAGGGGGTAGTAGCGGTGGTAAAGGATAGAGAGAGATGAAAAGAGAGACACGTATACACCGATCTATAACTTGGAACTATTATTTGAGACGCAGTAGTTAGTCTTTAAAAAGATATTTTAATCTTCTAGATAAATATTTCATTATTAACCCGAATAGATATAATCTAAGGTACTTTCGTTTAATGTTTAATTACAAATACAAATACAGTAGTACCTTTCAGTGTCAGTTTCTTAAAATTTCGTGATGTCTCTACTAGTTCTGCTGCTACTGCCTAACTTAACCTTTTTGTCATAAAGTACCAAAGAGTGGGGGGAACAGTTAATTATTTAGAATTATTGTCAATTTAATATTTGGTGAATGTATTTTCAACAAATTCTACAAACAATTGTATAATGAATTAACGAAAATCTCAGCTTTTTTTTACAAATTTCTTATTTGTCCGTTAGAAACTGGATTGAAATGTTATATTTCTATTGGTTTAATTTATTAACCAATCGGTACGAGCGATAAAGACCAATCAATGTTCAGAGATGAGGACCAATCAGTGCTCGTTGTAGGGACTAATTATTCCCTATATTTTCCCCACATCTTTTACCGTCAGCAGATTCACCATCTGCCCGATAAGTGGGAAGAGACGTATAGAAGCAAATAAAGATTACTTTTTCAATCTTTTATAGATTATTATTACATATGCATGTATATTTTTCATAAACAATCGATCTAGCTGATGAACTCATATATACGATATTCAATAAAAGAAAACCACTATGTATATGCATTCCACGCAAAGGCATCGTTGTGGCTGATGTAAGCTCATGTACAGGGGCGTTAACGTTTATATTTTTCTTTGGAACACATGCAGCTGATTCGATTGTTTATTCCTAGGAAGAACGATCGAAAGAAATACGATTTTGATCATTTTCTTGTATTCCTATTTTTTTTTTTTTTTTTTTAAATATTACTACCAATTAGTATTTTTATTTGATATCCATTATATATAATATTAGGAAAAATATGAAAAAAAAGAGAAGAAAAAGTTTGCATTTAAAGAATAATTAAAGAATTAAAATATTTTCTTTTCATATTACTTTTTTTTTGTGATAGAAAAATGCAGGTCATTCCAATGATAACCATAGTAATATCGTTAAATGTATAATTATACAACTTCGTCAAATATTCATAATGAGATATAAATTGTCAGCACATTTTGACAAATCATCGTGATAATCATGAAATATTAATCAATAAAAATACAGTAAAAAAGGAAAGTATGTCTATACGTAATAAATAGTACGTTCAAAATATTATTTTAAATAATTCTTCTTCATTTCTCTTTCATTTAATATGTTAACAATATGCATATTCTATGTTCACGTAATATACGAAACATAAATAATTTTTTGTTGTTTATCAAGTGACTCACAATTTGATGACTAATACTTACAAATTTATAATTTTGTACATTTTTTGAATTAACATTTCATGATATTATATTATATATACGTCTAATCGTCGTTATTATATCATGATTGTATATAATTGCATACCTCTACATAAAAAATGTATTTTTTAATATATGTGCATATAATAATATTTGAACTATTTAATTTTGTTCGATATGCTCGTTTACGTAAAATTTTAGGAAAAAGAAAAAAGACAAAAGAGAAAAAAAAAAAGATGGAAAGAAATTAGGAATACGATAAGGTGGCATAATAAATACTAGTGTTTGCTGACGAAGTAGTTTAATGAATATTCGAATAGTCAAGCTAACATATTATTTTTTTCTTTTTACATTTGAACAATTTGTTTATTTGAAAGTAGTACTTACTTAGATACCGTGACATTTCTTTGAAGTAGACTAGCACACAGTTTGAGGATAGCTTTGTTAATATAAGGGTGAGAGAGGAGAGTACGTAAGAAAATTCGTTGGATAAAGGCCCCTTTTTGGAAAGGCCCCTTTGGCAAATTGGCAAATGTTATTTCATGTTATTAGTTAACAAATTTTTCAGTAACGGTAACCGGTAACGTACGGTAAGCCAGTATATTATTACTTTTAATCATTTAAACGCATCATTTTTTTAATATCGAATAATATTTTTGACAATAGAAATAATTTATCTTACATTTGACCAGTGCAAAGGAGTAAACTATAATTATTGGAGGATAAAATTGTGTGGTAAAATGATGAAAATGTCAAAATCATTATTATTTTGCTTGGTTGTCTGCTGCGGACTCTATAATTTATCCGATGGAGCTACAATCCCGTCAATGCTTACCAATGTCGTTAAAGGTAGATTTAATTATCTCTATCTTCTTTTTTTTTTTCATATCATTTATAACTATTATTATTTAATCGCATACGGCTACTCTCTTTCCTAATCTTTTTCTTCGAAACAAAATTCATTCAGTATCTTTCACCGTCTTATCTATTCTAATACCTAATTCCTTTCTTTCTAACATCCTATTTAAAACAGATTGAAGAAGAAAAAAAAAAAAGAAAACTTAAATAAGATGGAATTTGAGCTTAGCACGAGTGCTTTTTTAAAAATCAAGTCAAAAGGTTTGATATCTGAAGAAAAATCGCGTACAATTAAAATGAGCTTTAACAAAAGATTCTTTCAGGCCAAAAACAGGCACCGAACAACGACAAAAATATCACAATGAGCAGTAATAACAGCACCGAAGTTGACGGTTCTCTTCAAACGATATTGAAATCAATTTATTGGATTGGTCAAACGATTGTACATTTAATAGATCAACTTCTGTCATTGGTTATTAATATCTTAACGCCGATTATAAAATCACTGACAGGATTATTGCTCAACATTTTATATTTCGTGGCATCATTGCTCGATCAAATTGTTAATCGTGTTGGTTATCTTCTGAAAGGGTTACTTGATAATATGGGAAACCTTTCGAACTATTCCAAACCTATTTCTTTAATATCATCATTATCACCATTGCCACCACTACCATCACTAGCATCATCTTTATCATCTTTATCATCTTTATAATTTTAATCTTGTTAAGAATTCATTTAAATATCCTTATATCGTTATCAAATATTTTTAATATGTCTACAGACGTTGGATCTTCTGGCATGACTTTATTATCAACCGTCGATGACATTCTCGGTTGTAGCTCAAAGGATTCAGATAATATACCATCTCCTACAGAAATTGCAACTAATCCTATACAATCTTTAACACAATCTCTTTGTTTTATTCTCAAAAGGGTCAGTGATCTAACCAAATCTACAAATGATTTGATGGAAAATCCCGTTTCAACATTGTTACAAACTTTATTTCCACCGATAATGGCGGTATTGAAAAGTGTGCATGATAGTAATATTGTTCCAGAACCATTGAATCTTTGGCTTCAGACTATCTTAAATCTATACGATATCAATCGTTTACTTATGAATGCTATATAAAATCTTATTGTTAATTAATATTTCTCTCTTTTTTTTTTCTCTTTATTTATATAAATATATTTATATATATATTTTTTTTTGTTTTGGTATCCTATAAAATATAAGGAAAATATGATTGTACGTAAAAATTTGATCTTGAGAGAGAGAGAGAGAGAGAGGGAGATTTAACACGATTATTGTTTTATGCACATCTTTCTTGAATTTGCTTTTAAAAATAAATCTTTGAGCAAAGTTTAATGCACATGCGTACATACATTTTCTATTTTATTTAATGTTAACAATATTTCATTATGAAATTTCTTGTTCATATCAGAAAAGAAAGTTACACATAATAGAGAAAACTCTAACGAAAGGATTTAGTAGAATATAAAATATGTTTAAATGGTAACTGATAAATAATGCGGGTTGAAAGTATGTATTCGTCGCAATATGAGAAATCCTCGGAAGTAAATAATACGTAAATAACATTTTGGAAAATATCTGTCTATTACAATACAGGAAGAAGACATGATTGATTTAAAAGACAGTTATCATAATCCTATTAAGATTTTTGGACGAACTATTATCATTGATTTTACTTTGAATCCTATACTTTAGTACAATCTCTAGAAATGAAACTTTCTATACGAGTAACCATCCGATTTGAGCTTAAATTATTATGAAAAAGGTTGTTACGGTGAAAACATTATTAAAGGATTATGTAACATTATAAAAGGATAATGTAGTCGGTAAACTCATCGAATTACTTTCGAAAGCATTGCCAAATTTATATAATTATGTATAATATCATTTGACTTTTTTTTGTTCTTATATACATATATATATATATATATATTACATCGCGTTTAATATTTATGTATTTTAATTGGTAAGAGAAAATTAGAGTAACTTATTGGAAAGTTATTCCCACGGTATCTGTCAAACACTAGGAGATATGACAATGAAAGTACTCGTAATCATCGATCGACTTCATGTAAATTAGTTTTCGATCCAGTCATCATTTATACGATATCATTGATCCGTATAAAGGGGGTAGAGACGATGTGCAGACTGACGTGTAGACACGGACGGGCCCGACCGGAAATTGCATTTGAATCGATTCCAACTATAGCCTTTCGAAATGAAATGGGATCATCTCGAAATTTCAATCTTTTATATTTTCATTTTTAATTATTATGTACAAACATATAAAGAAATTCAAAAGAAGAAGGAAGAAAGAAGAAAGAAGAAAGAAGAAAGAAGAAGAAATTCTTGCTACTTCTTCTTATTTATTTATAAAGCTTACATATTTAAACAAGGTAACATATATTAATAAATAAATCTTGTAATATTTATTCCTTAAAAATGAATTTGTGTTGTTTCACGTGGCTTCGACGCATAGGCCACGATAATAAACGTATGTACATAGATACAATAGATACAATAGATACATATGCTTTGTACATAATAACGTTAGCATTGGTGTTGCATAAGACGAAGGACATCACGCCGGATGCGTATACTTGTAGACGAGTATAAACCTAAATGAGTAGACGTGTATATATATGCGTATTTTACAAAATAAACGATTCTGCAATAATTCTCTACCCGTTTAAATCTTCTTCTTCTTCTTCATATCACAGATAATATCGATCTTACACGTGCCACGATGACGTTTTACTACTCATTGCCAGTTCCGTTTCCTCTATTTCGAATGTCTACATCAGGATGAGAGAGAAACTTTTCTTTTTTACGTAGGGAATTGCTATGAAATACTTAAGTAACTAGAACTCAAGAAGCATAATGCGTAAAGTATAATACAATCGTCCTATTATTATTTAATGCCGTTAATGTAAATACCCTGTTAATACAAAATTATACTTTTCTGTTTCTTTTTTTTTTTTTACTAATTTACATTTATTTACTAAAAAAAAATCAAAGGGTTAGTTCATAAATAGAGAAATTCATTTTGTATTAGATAATGCTCATGTACTATGTGTTAGATAATTAAATGTATATCGTTGAAAGATTACAAACAACGTCGATGACTCATATGCATAAGTAAGTACTTACAATTAGATATATCATATACATATATGTTAAATAAAGACAGGAATGACCCGTATAACTAATATCGGAATTTACTTTCCTTGCTTTACATCATCAGCTGCATATTTCATAAATATTTATACTATTTAGATGATTCTTCTTCTTCTTCTTCTTCTTCTTCGGTTTTTCTTTTATTTGACAAATCGTTCGTATTTCTAATGGAGGATATATTTATATTTTCAAAAGCTATTGCGTAAGCAGTGATAACGATAGACGACCACTCGAGCACGTAAATGAACCTGCGGCCTCGATTCTTCGCTAAGCCTTTCTACAGATGGAAACATATATTGTTACTCTAATACTTATGGAACACATACTTTGTCTTTTTTTTCTGTTGACACCATTTTTAAGTGATTACCTTCACGGATAACCAAAATTGCAGCTGATAAAACAAATATGTATATGTATAATATGATTGTGACGTTACATTTAAGCTAATGATTATTATAATGGAAATAAATAATATATATATTCATATTTGATTACAATGATAATACCAATGCTAAATGAAGTTTTCAGTTAAACTTATTTTTTTTTCTTTTCATACAAATTCTAATTTTAATGTATATGTCGAGGAACGTGATACTGATTTTTTTTAGTGTTTTCCAAAGTTTTATATTACAATAAAGTTATTTTTATCATTTCGAATTGTAGGTCAGATAATTGTATAAACCATGTTCAAATGGTTTTACAAATATTACTTTTTTTTTCTACAAAAATATTTTCGAATATTTCAAATATATCTTTTGGTAATATATAGATGTATGCATTTTTTTTTTAATTTTAAATTATGACGGTCGATTAATTATTAGTTGAAAACATTCATTTTGTTTTTCAATTATTTGACTTATATTAATATCTCACTGTCATAATTACCAACCCATCGTTATATATATATATGTGTATAACGATACAATATAGGAAAAAAAGACAGTAGGTATGCATTATTAAAAAAAGGGGTGACTAATTGCACAATTGCAGATGAGGTAAGAGGGGTGAGGAGGGAGAAGCCTATCGCGATCGTGTTCGTGGACCACCGAGCGCGTCCTGTGCTCGTCTTTGCAGGTACACCTTTTTTTTCTTCTTTTTTTTTTTTTCTACGACAATGCACCTCGATATATAGTTTTTACCCACATCCCGTGAGGTAGGAGTCCAGTCGTGGTACGAACGCGAGAACGGAATTGTCATTCATATTTTGATTCGTCGTTAGACGATCTCAACGTGTTCTTGTATTATTTCTCTTTTTTTTTTTTTTAATTATTCCATTAAATATTATTATAAAATTAATTTTATAATAATATATTATAAAGAGGAATAAGGAAGGAAAAGAAGAAGAATAAGGAAAATTGGTGAATGACGGGAATGGGGATGACAAAATTTCAACTGTTTGAAGAAGACGGTGTTGTTAATGATTGCTTACGGAGAATATTAATTACAAGTAGGATATAAGTAACGCCAATGAAGAAAATTATGTAACGACGAAATATTTGTTCGCGTATGAAGAACACGAAGGAAGGGACTAAGTAACAATAAACATTCTTCATTGTTTCCATAGATAATACAAATTCATTTGATAATATTTTAAGAGATAAAACAAGATTAAGAAGAAAAGTTTAGTTGAAAGGATGACTGGACGTTCGCGATCTTTGATATTTCTTCTATTCCTCGTCTTCGTTGTCATCTTGTCGATCATTTGTACAGGTGTGTTGTTGCATTTTTTATCTTGTTTTTTTCTTTTTTTTCCTTTTTTTTCTTTAAACGACGTTTACGGTTACGTCATTAATGTATTCTCGATGTTAAAACTATGTTCGCAATTCTCGAAAGATACCTTGATTTATTTTTACTTTTATTTTTTTATTTTTTATTTTTTTTTATTTTAGGATTATGCCAAAGTTGTCAAGACACAGCATGGGAAAAAGTTGATGGAGCTAGACCTGAATATACAATTTCTAAAGTTGCCCTATTCAGTGGTGAAAATGCCCATGGCATTGTTATACCTTGTTTTGAAAGGTATATTCATTAAATATTATATCATTATAATATTTCAATTTTAATGATATATTAATTACTTTGATATTGATTTTCAGGTGTAAAAGAATCAATTGCACTGCCTTCGTGATAGATATCGATAAAAGTCTCTGTTACAGTGTCGAAGTTCAAGGCGACGAATTTGTTCCAGAGTCCAATTCTATATATTATCAAGAAATTTGTATTAAAGGTATTAAGAATATTTTTCTTATTTATATATACATTTTGTATATATTATTCTTATGTTGAATGTTTTTAGTACCTAAAATTTGTAAAGACAAAAAACTGTGGCAATTGGAAAGAACATTGGGCGCCGTTTTACTCGATGTCGCTTCCGTTTGGTTACCACAAGTTATGCGAAGAAGCCGATGTTACAAGATGTGTATCGATGCAGGTAAATTTAAATTAATGATTCAAATATCAATTCTTATGTTAAACGAATTTTAATTTTCAGGTGGTGCATGTAAATCAGCTCAATTTCGTGCAACAAAAGCATTATCGATTAATAATACACTTGGAAGATGTGCCCTATCAATGGCTGAAAGAAGTATCAGACCACAGACTTACAGGGCTTCCATGTACAGAGACGAATATTTGCAACATCAGTGTCATGATATATGTGAGTATTTTATTGACCAAAAAAAAAATATGTTCCTTGTTTTAATTGCCTATTGTTAAAACATAAATGATGTTGCAGTAAAAATGGATTATTGTTCCTACGCTGAATTCCCGAACGTAACTCTGCCATATTCCGATCTTGAATTACCTGGTGTTGATAAACAAGAGGTAAATATATCATATTATGAGATTAATATTATTTAATAATAATAATAATAAGAACATTTTTCTTGTTTTTAACACAGTGCGAAAGCAGATGCGATCTCGGCGAGGATGGTTTCATCTGTAGAAGTTATACAGTAGTATACACGTCAAATCAAAAACCAATTTGCCGATTACACTCAGAAGATACACTGAGTCTTGGTACTAGTTCACTTGAAAGCACACCTAACAGTATTTACAAGGAACGCGAACCTTGTTTAGACGGTGAGTTATTATAAACGTTAAACTTTCAGGAGATTTCATTCAATTACCAAATTATAAAATAATATGTTTTTAGTTAAAGTCAAATGCAGCGACACGATGTTAACAGTAACTTTGACTACGTTGGAACCCTTCGATGGTAGACTTTACGCCAATGGTTATGGAAATGATTGTGGTATTCAAGGGACTGGCCGAAACGTAACAATATTAACACTGCCTTTACCAAAAACCGAGGAATTAGATATGTCCAAAATTCCATGCGGTTTTACGCCAGCATTTTCAATAGACAATGAAAATCGGTTAGTATGAAGCAACGAAACATTTATAATAAATAATTGGATAACAATGATGGATTATTTTGTAGAACAAGGACGATGATATGGGCTACTATAGTCGTACAGTTCAATCCTATTATTCAAAGACTGGGCGATCAAGCTGTTAAAGTTGGATGTACTATAGGTGAACATGATATTCCAAAGCCTAGAAACATATCGGTGCAATCGAGTTTAAGTTTTGCTGATCCCAAGTGAGCACTGTTTCGAGTTCTCATTAAATGTATTACTTTGTTAACTTTTTTCCATATCCGTAATAACGTATTTAGCGCAGGAGTACCACCAATTTCAACAATTGTAATGAACGCATCATCGGAGGTTCCAGTGATAACAATGAGAATTTTAAACGAGGATCATCAGGATGCTGTTGTTACGAAACTGGGAGAAAGGCTGACTCTTAGAATTGAAATAAATCCAGCTGATGGTACGTCCTTGGTGAAGTATCCTATCTCTTCATTAATCGTTTATTTATTTGTTATCCCTTTGTTCAAAAAGTCATCAAATTAGGAATGAAATCAAATAGAATTTCAAGTATTTTAGGTCCATATGATATCATGGCTGGACATCTAGTAGCTAGTAGTGCAACAGGACATTGGTCTTATCTTCTACTTAATGAAGTTGGGTGTCCTACGGATCCAACAACATTTCCAGCCTTATCCAAAGATCCTATTGATAATCGATCACTTATTGCAACTTTTACTGCTTTCAAATTTCCCGAAAGTCAGTTGGTTCGATTCAACGTTATCGTTAAATTTTGTCTGGACATATGCGAGCCGGTAAATTAACAATTAAGCATCTAATTCAATAAAAAAAGAAAAAGTACATAAAAGTACATTGGAATTATTATTTTTCATTTTGAAGGCACATTGCGTAGGAAATCGTGTCTCTTACGGAAGAAGGAAACGAAAATCAACAATTGCCACTTCTACATCGGAGCCTTATATAACTGCTGAGGTAACTGAAATTTTCAGGAACAAAACACCAGATGAACTGCCATTACAACTGTCTATCATAGTTCAGAGTCCTGTGATATTTGCGGATCCTCTACTGTCCAGGGAAAATACCACTCCCGATACGATTCTAATAGCTGGTGGACGTAAGTTTAATCGCAATTTTATTAAACAATAGTGAATTTGTTTTTTTCTTTTTTTCTTTTTCTAACATCTTTTCTTTTGTAGACTCCATCGATGGACTACTCTGCGTAGATGCTAGTTTAGTGTTAGGCTTACTCATCTTTTGGCTGATCATTCAAATCATTTTGATAGCATCTTGCCTATTGGCTATTGGACGATACAGAAGAATGGCAATAAGAGCGGAAGAAGACAGAGCTGATATATTGGCCAGACATCTTTATGGTATTCATGGGGGAAACTTTGAAATATCTCGAAGGGTCAGGTGGGCTGATACAAATAATTCTTCGATCGGTTGATTCGTTACCATCGGCTGAGGGAATCACTTTAAATCGACATATCACTCTTTTTCTTGGTTTTTTTTTCTCCTTTTTTTTTCCTTTTTATATTAATAATATTGAAAATAATAATAATAATAATAATAACTTGGACATTATTTTTCTTTTTACAAAAAAGAACATAACTACAGTGTATACGCAATCGTAAATAATAATCTAATAGAAAAAAAAAAAAAAACAAACAAACAAATGAGAATGTATTTAATTGATAATTTTATATTTATTAATATTACCGAAGAGGTAAATTAAAAAAAGAAAAAGAAATATAATAGAAAAGATTATAAAATATATAACTATTACACTAAACAGTCTTTAATAATAGATTTACTTATCTATTTAGTAATAAATCAGTATTATCAATTTAGGCCCATGACCAATTAACCTCTGAGCCCATCAGCACCGCAACGTCCGTATGAACTTGTTTTTATATCTGTAATTAGATCGACACTCAAATTAGTATTAGGAACTGTTCATTATTGTTTTAAAAATGTAAATATTTAATTAATTTACTTTTGCCGCAAAAAACTGCACAATTCAATCTTCCAGGATTATCATAAGTGATGTTGTCTGATCCACATACAGGATTATATTCTGAAGTGGGCTGTATTCAAAAATTACATACACGCGTGTAAAGTAATAAGTAATATTATAAAAAAAAAAGTTATTTAAACAAAATATTTACCACACACGAAGAAATGCAATTTTCATAATCTGGGGATCCTGGTGTAACAGGTGCAGGTGTGGCTCGTGTCGTTGTTTCTGTAAATCCAATATTTGTAGAATCTCGAGTTGTAGTTCTTATAGGACCGTCAAAAACGAACCCATTAACTTCAGAAAAATCATCTAAATTCGAACCACTCTGAAATAAAATGTAAATAATTAAGGTAATGATTAAATACGATAGTACACGTATGAATACAAGTTACCGATTACTCACATTACTAAGATTATAATTTTATAAATATCCGTCGAAATAATATCACAGTGCAATTTGGACATTTAAAATAACATTTGTAAACTTACCTGAGGAAAGGCCATGGTGTTTGATATTACTGCAAGCACGACTACAATAATAACAAATACAAAAATAATCGTATTAATATTTAATCTTATTTAATATAATATTGAATAATATTTTAATTAATAATTACTTAAAATCGTAGAAACTCTGACACAGCTCGTCATATTGAAACGATTATAATAAATTATTATAGATCACAGAAATATCTTTATATAGGATTCGTCAAGGCTTCTCAAACAAAGTCTCTCAAGGAAGGTCGACGATCGACTATACGGAAATCGATGAAAACTTTTTACTTTTATACGTCGCACGAGTTGATGACAACTTGAAAAAGATGAATACGTGTATTCAAGAATTTTCCTCTTTCTCTTTCTCTTTCTTACTCACTCCATTTCTCACAAACACATTATTTTGTAAAAAAAAAAAAAAATACGTGGTTTTCCCCTCTTTCCTATATTGCACGAAAAAATTTCCACTCTCCATGGGTCGATAACGCACAAACATTAATAAAAACGCAACACTTTTTATTACAATAACAATTTTATCTTCATATGTTTTTGTTAAAAGGTGTTTTTTTTCTTTTTCTGTAATTTATTCTATCCCACTTTGTTTTCCCTCTTTTCCTCTATTTATTGATAAATTTATAGATTTGGCTTATGATAGACAACGTGACTAAATTCATCGATCTTTCTCGTTTAGTTAGTAAGCCGAATGAACTTGACATTTCTAAGATTAAAAGGAATCACTATATTAATGAGAAGTCCGATCTGTAGATGGCAACGACAAGGTCAACCAGAAAATCACGTATCATGCTTGTGAAACGACCAAGGCAAAAAACATATTTAAAAAATTAATTATTAATTGATCATCGTTATTTCCAATACTGTATTTGCGTGAATGTACAAATTTCATGACGTCACTGTAATGTCAATGATTAATATTAATACTATTTATTAATCATTTTTATGCATATATTGGAATCTTCATTTCCGTAATATATTCAATGAAATAAAATTTCCAGGTTTCTTCTACGAAATTTGTTTGAACAGTTAGGATGATATTAGGATTCCATTCCTTAACAAGAAATAATTAAAAAATTATTTTCAAGAATTAGATTGATAGATACGTTTATGCTTGTACAGTCATGAATATATACAATTTCTAATTAAATAGGGGTATACTTTTTTATTAATTTATTCTTGTTATTAAAAATCATTTTTAATTACAGAACATTGATTATACTATTAAGGAAAATAACCTTGATTAATTTAATTTATTATTATCCTTCACCTTTTGATATGAAAATAACAAGAATTGCATACAATAAAACTTGCATATGTTTTGAATATATATTATATATATTTTAATAACATTAAGTTATAGCTATTCATAATAATACATTAAAAAGCATACGTACAGCAAATATATTCTTATAATATAATACATTTGTCATATATATATATATATATAAAGTTTGCATTTACATTTTTTTATAAAGCAACATAGGTGCGCAACTTCTTGCCGCGACATTTTAAACGCAAAGTTTACATAAATGCATACTTCTTTCTACATATAGAACATCAAGTCACAACTTTTATGTTTATTTTTGATATATACATTGTATATTTTTATAGTTTAATATTTCAACAGTATGATTGTATATTTCTTGTTCTTAGAATAGAAAAACAAATTGCTATTCGAAAAAAGACAAATATTATATTTCATATTATAAATTAAGACGAAATATATTTCACGTAAATATATGCTATTAAAGAAAATAATTTACTTGAAAGTAATCTTAAAAAATACGTAGACTTTTTACGTGGACTTGATTTTTATAGGCAAGACTTATTTTTGATAATAATTAAACTCTTAAGTCACGTAAGTACGTATGTGTCGTATCTAAAAAGTATATTTTATATTAATTATTTATGCAATAAACTTTAAATAATTCGATACAGGAGATATTTTTAATATTGTGTATATTTTGGGACTCCGGCAGTTAAAAAGGAATGATAGTTTCTTTCTTTAAAATACAATTAACTATGTTTGGTAAAACAATAGTAATATAAAATAATGAATTTGTCTATATATTGTGACGAGGGAGAAGATTTTTGAAAAGAAAAATATTGTAAAGGACAAATTCCTAACATTAAAAATTACAGATTCTGTATATCATTTCTTCATCCGGTATATAGTATTCGACTATTAACTAATGTTTTATTTAAGTTTAATTAATCTGAATCTCTCTCTTCTATATATTACATAAATTGACCAGTCTTTTGCTTTGCTAAATCTGAGGCTTTTTTAGCAGCATCTTTAACTTGTTCCGCTTTGTCTTTCAATGAATGTTGCAAACCTTCAGCTAAAATTGATTTACTCGCAGTTGTATCTTCAGACTGTAAATGATTCATTCGATAAGTTAAATTAAAATATGAAACTTGTAAAAAGCATTTTCTTATATAATATATATTTACTTGACTACTGTTGTGAGTAGTTGACAATTGTGCTGCTGTTTGTGGAAACATACGTCCAAGAACGTCATTAAAACCTAATGACATTTTAACATAATTCTTTTTTAATCTGTCTTGTCCAAATGCTTCAATTGCTTTACTAAATCCAAGTACACAACTCCATATCCATGCAGATCTGTGTACTGTAGTCCATGAAGGATTTTCGTCGGATACTCGATAAACAACTTTTTCGATAACACTCTAAGCAATAACACCAAAATTATATAATACATTTGAAGAGTAACGAAAATGTATTCATCATATAATATTTATCTTTTATTTGCAAGAATTACCATTGCCTTATTATAGGTAAAATTTCTCGAATATGTTGTTAATGTCTTTGCTTCGGGATCCAATATACTTTCCTCAACTATTTTAACGGACTTTTTTTTAATTAACATTTCACCCCATTTTGGTACGCCGTTTGTTTTTGTCAGAAGACGTTTAGAGTAAAGTTTGCCTTCCTTAACTTCTCTTGATATAGTATCCTCCGATAAGACATGTGAGCTGTGAGGATTCGGATATTTCACCCAAAATCCTTGTACAACTTGTTTCCAATTAAAATAAAACGTTGTGTTGTCTTCGAAATACTTAACCATTGTTATGAAAAATGCAACCAATTGAAATATATTTTCAACAACAGTCTTCCAAGTTTTTATTGAATAATTAAGTTGTTTTTTTATAACCTGAAAGAAAATAATACAATGTAATATAAAATAATATATATTGAAAGAAATTCAATTTATATAAATAAAGAGTACTAATTTTATTATCGATATATTCGCATACTTAAAAATATCGATTTTATGAAAGACATTAGGGGAAAGGATTGAGTACGTGATCTGAGTCACGTACGATAGTTCCAACTTTGTCATTAAGACTAATTGCGGAATTATTTTTAAATAAATTTTTTTTATCAAAAATTTTCTGTCAAAATCGATACACGATAAATAATGATCGTCCGATTAAAATTATTCTTCATTGAATACATTTTTTAAACAAAATTTCCTCTTCTACACGAATGTATCATTAGAATATATCGAAATTATTATAAATGACAATTGTTTCAAATGACACATAACAAAAATATACAACAGTTGACCTAAATATTTGAACAAGCAGATGGGTAAGATAATAAAAGAAAAAAGTAGGTCAAAAGAAAAATCTAGCAATTGAAATTACATAATCTAACTCTATGAACATTAGAAATAATATTTGTTGAAATAAAACTTAATCAAAACATTAAACGATAATTTGCAAATGTTCGTTGTAATAAAAGTATTTATTTTTTATGTCACTTTAGAAATCTCTTTCATATATAATACACGCGTAAACAACGCAAATTGATTTGAAGTCATAAAGAGAGTGAATGTTATTTTTCAATGAATATAACGATTCACTGTAGAAAATATTATGTGATGATTATTTTATTTAGATGAATAAAAGCAATTGTCACAATGTAATAAACGTATGATATTACTTAGAAAACTTACTGTAAAAGACAATTTCGGGTAAAATCGATAAACTCCAGTAAATAATCGTAAAACGTTAGTTATTCCATGATAAACATTCTCTCATAATGTATAACAGTATACAGAAGTGCACTTTGTAACTAAAGAGAACGGTATAACCGGAACAAGTAAAAGTGAAACATAACACATTCTCTTTCTTTCATAAGAAAAGGATATACTATCTACCGCGCCATCTACGTTTTTTCAAAATTTCCAAACATGATTATTAATATAAGGTAGAATATATATTACCAGGTTTAGTTGAAAGATTTAATTTTATTTTTATTTTTTTAACATTCTGACTAATCAATAATTTTTATATATTTAAATTTATTTCACATTAGTTTTACGTGTGTAGTATTTTGTAGTGATACTTGAGAAAAAAACCACCAGGTGGCATTGTGCTTGTCATGTTGGTATCCCTGCTGCAGGCCGGTATTAACAGATGATTTTTTTGTTTCAATGACATTTCTACCTTATCTGAATGTATAACCTTCGAATAAGATTTATTACAATAGACAATAATTTCTGTTTAATGTGATAAACAAATGTTAAATTTAAGTGATTGCATTCGCTTATGTATATGTATTTGTAAAAAATATATATAATCATTTATTATATAATTTAATTCATCTGTAACATAAGGTAATATTAATTATTATCTATTAATAATATACATTAGGTAGTGCAAAAATTTAATATGTATTTTTAATACTGTTACATGATATTATATTTGCTTATTCTTTTTTTTTTTTTTGGTTTGATTCAGATGAAACGACACAAATATTAGAAAATGCTTAAGTATTGATTAAGAATGGAGATTATTCAGTCTTTATATTCCAACATAATAGATGAAAATAAGGGTGATGTGTTGAAAGAAGTTGGTATATTTTATTAAATGTAACAAATTAAAATTGTAGTAATAATATTATTACGTAAAGTAATTATTATGTTTACAGTTACTACATGCATGCGTAGATGAAATATGTGGACGTCCTGGACCGTCTTATCACAAGTTCATGAATCGAATGAATTGGAGTAAAGAAGTATACGAAGATGTTTATAAATTAATGATAATGCTTTTACGTAATCCAGCATGTTTATATTTGATGGAAGAGAAGGTATTCTAAATTATTACAAACAACTATTATACTCAGAAATTGATCCCAATACTCTTAACGTATTTCACTTACGTTTAAAAACAATTATTTTCAAATTCCATTAGCCTTATCGAAATTAATTTCACTTTTAGATGCCTCCAGAGTATCATGACCTTCCTGAATTAATTCAAAAAGATATTTTAAGTTGTTTAAAAGTTCGACAAAAACAACTGACGCATGCCTTATTAATGGAACACTCAAAGCGAAAATTACAAACTTTAGTAGACTTTGATTGGAGATTAAAAGTAATCTAATATTTTGTTCTTATATATGATTATATGTAATAAAAGAAGGATATATTGAAATTACATATATAACTTACAGCTTGTCATGGGTACGAGTAAAATGGCATCATTACGAGAACCTCTACTTCAATTAGACTTTATTGTTGAAGAGAAGGGAACAAGACGTATTATTGATGTCGAAATGAACAAGGATGAATTAGATACGATGATAACTACAATGGAAACAATAATACAATAATGTATTCTCTCGCTCGCGTTTTATACAATAAAATTATTACGTTTGAGACAAAAAAAAAACAAACAAACAAATAGAAACAAGATAATATATATTTTACATATATTTTAGAAAATCCTTTTAAAAGGTTATATATGAAGTATATATGAAAATAAAAGAAGGACGTTTGATGAGACGGGAGGGGGTCATAATGAACTTTAACATTATAGTACACTTGTTTCACAGTTTATTAGATTATAGATAAATGTAGAATAGTTTAGTTACTATCATAACTGTTGATCGAAGATACCAAAGACTGTAGTTTTGTGGTTTTTGAAGCGCCTCCGGTGTAAAAAGTGTTATATTAATATAATTTTATTATTTTAATAGTATTCAAAAACGCAAAGAACTCTCCTCTTTTTCTTTTTCTCTCGCACTCTCTCTCTCTCTCGCTCGCTCGCTCTCTCTCTCTCTCTCGCTCTCAATCTCTCTCTCTCTTTCTTTCTCTCTAGATTAACACGAGTTATAGTTGACTCGATGTGCCGGAAGACGCCCCAAATTTTCTATTTTAACAATCCATTTTTTGTTGTTACGCTGAGACACAGATTATTAGTCACGTTTAAACAATAAATTTTTCGAAAACGAAAATGTTCTAAAAAAACTCTCTCTCTCTCTCTATCTCTCTCTCTTTCTCTCGTTGCCGAAATATGTTCCGTTGAGAAAAAACCGACGCAATTTCGTTGTAAATATCATTATGGACAATACTATTTTGATGAAATTCCATACGAATAAGGTTTACTATACAACTTTTAATTTTAACTTTTTGCCACCTTCTCCTCCTCCCTCTATCTTTTTCTATTATTCCTATACCTCCTCTTCCCCTAAACATCTCTCACTTTCTTTCCTCTTTCTCTTATTCAATAATAAGTATATTGTTCAAAAAATGAATATCAACATCCTCTAACACTTGGAATTATTCTTATCAATCAAGAGCGCATAAGGAATTAAGTGCACGGATATATGCACTTGTTCGTTTTGTTTTTTTTGCATTTGTTTGTTTGTTCGATTAGCTTTAAATGGTCTACATTCTACTGTCTTAATAAAAAAAAAAAAAGCTTTCGCATGTAAATTACACTTACAATTTTTTTTTGCATTTTTTCTTTTTTTTTTAAGTTTTATTTTATTTATTTTTTTATTTCTGGGAGATCCGTATAAACGTAGAAATATTGTATGAAAAACTTGAAAAAGGTAAACGTTCCCTCTTCTTTTCTTTTCTTTTCTTTTCTTTTCTTTACTTCTCTTTTTTTTTGTCCTTTTTTTTGCAACTTTTTTTCTTCTTTTTTATCCCTTTCCTATTATTATATTTTCGGGGGCGGTAAAATTGTGCACACAACACGTTGTCTTTTTCGTTTATTATTAATATTATTATTATTATTATTATTATTATTAATATTATTATTATTATTGTAAGTATTAGGCGATTGACGCGACTTTTTGTTGTTGTTTAAAGTGATTATCCTAAAAATTACGAGATATAGTAGGCTTCCTGTCGTAAATTTATTTTCTCATTTTTTATTCTTTTTTTTTTTATTTTTATATATTTTTTTTTTAGTTAAAAAAGAGAAATATCATTTATTGAACGAACACCAAATTTATTTATTTTTTTTTTACCTTTCTTTCATTTTCTGTATTTTTTTGGGTTGTGTTTTGTGTTATTTATACACGAACGTATTTCTTGTGTCCTATACGTCTAGATTAAATATCACTTACATTGTGTTTCGATTTTAATGTATTTTGTTGTTGTTGTTGTTGCTTAAAAGTTTGTGTATTCGTATGGTGTTCGTATTGGTGGTAGTAGTGGGTGGTAGTAGTGGGTGATAGCGGTGATGGTGAATGGTTAGGGATGGTGAAAGGGGTGACAGTAGTCAAATTACGAAGGTATCGTATTATGTGCGTGTAAAAATGTTCTTTTGGTAAAATCAGTGTTTTACTTTTGTATATTTTCTTTTGTTTGTTCCTTTCTTTTAATTATATAATATATGTGTGTTTGTGAGTGAGTGTGTGTAAAATACAAGAGTAGTCATGTGAGTTATTTATTTCATTTTTTTTTTAATCACCTGCGCTTATCCAAATATCATAAAAATGCGTATATAATAGAAGTGTTATAGTTCTTCGTTATATAATATAAAAAAGAAGAAAAAAAAATAATAATTAACATTATAATCAATTGTCGAACGTACAAATACTATTTAAAGGAAAGAACGAAGATCGAAATTTACATATATATGTCTATAAAAAAAAATCAAATCAAATGATTAAAGATAAGAAAAGAGAGAAAAAAAGAAAAGACAAGAAGAATCAAAGAGGATCGCAAAAAAAAACGGGGGAAAAAAATACGAATAAAATTATTAAAATAATAATAAAAAAGAAAAGTTTCTGATATATATATATTTGCATATGTATATCATGTAAGAATATGTACCTCTTTCCTCTCTACAAACAAGAGAACAATTTTCTCTCGCTTTGCGAGCTTTTTTTTTTCATTTTTCTCTCTCTTTTTTTCCTTCTTAAACATATTTTTATTTTCGTCTTAAATCACTCATGCGATTTTTGTTGTTGCTACTGTTGTTAATGATATTAGCGTATTATTAGCATTTCGACAACTTTTGGATTATCCAAAAACCATTTTTCTTCGTTTTTCTTTTTTCCTTCTCTCTCTCATTGTTATTATCTCTTCTCATCTTAGTTGTTATTAATATTATTATTATTATAATTATTATTATTATATTATTATTATTATTATTAATATTAATATTATTATAGTTAATTTTTTGTTTACCAAATGCTTTATTAGAGCCTGTAGCGGCCACTTTGTTTTTTTTTCTTTTCTTTATCGTCATACAAATCACAATTAAAATTAAAGTAAAATTCGTACACCATTATTATTACTATATCATTATTATTAATATATCATCATTATTATTTAGTATTTTATTACGTTCTTTCCTTTCATTTCTTTTGTTTCATTCTTTCGTTATTTTATTTTCTTTACGTTAATTATTAGAGCGTTGAATTCTTTCGCGCACATTTACTTTTCCACGTACACTAACTTTTATTAAACTCTCAATTTGCGATTTTTTCTTTGTTCTTTTAATCTTACATGCACAACCCCCTCTTCTCAAGTCTCAACTTTTTCAAATCAATATACCCTTACTTACCATTTGCGATATTTCATTCTCGTTTTCTCTCATAAAAATCTAATAATGTTAAATTTTAATGTTTATTACACGGGAGGGCACCAGCCATTTCGTCTTTTTTTTTTTTTTTTTAATATTTTTTTTTTCTTTTTCGTTTCGAGTATTTTCATTAAACCGGAATAGTATACGTTAAAGAATAAGATATTATTTGTTCATTGATGACGACGACAACAATGTTAAATGTAAATGTAAATGTTCATATGATAATGATAATGATAATGATAATAATGATATTGACGATGACAAAGATGATTGATGATGGTGATGGTGATGATGAAGACGACAATGAAGATGACGATAATCTTTGAAAGATTTATTTTTCTTTCTCTCACATGCGCATTGTTATTTTAATTTTTTTTTTATTTATTTATCGGTAACCCTTTCTGTAATTGTTGCTATTTTTGTTTAAATTCCTACACAGGAAGGGCAATTATAATTAACAACCCCACCTGTGGCTGGGCTCAGCCCGTGGTAAAAATGAATTCAATGGATCCTTCGGTTACGAGCGACCATAAACGCTAAACGAGATAGATGCAATTTTATAATTTTATTCGTATTATTTTTCTTATTGTATCTTCTCCTTCTTCTTCTTCTTCTTCTTCTTATTATTATTATGAACAGTTTATTTTAGAAAAGGAGTCTCATAATCTGCGCACACAAGCGAGTATAAATGGGTTTTAGGGGTAGTGGTATTATTGATAGTGGTTGGTGGTAGTGGATGTTGTTGTTCTTGTGTAATTTTTATTTTTTTTTTGTTTGGTTTAATTTTCATAAAATCATCCAGTTTCATTCACTTATTATTCTTTCCTTTTATTATATTATACCCTTTTTAACGACCCTCGCTTTCTTCCTTTTAAATAATGCAATCGTTTAGTTCTTGTTATTTTTCTTTTTCTTTTTTTTTCTCACCCTGCCGGCTTTTGTTTTCATCATAATAATTAATAGGCCTACTATTTAAAGTCTATAATGTTCATCTTCTTCTTCATCTTACTCTTCTTCTCCTTATTATTCTTATTATTATTATTTTTGTTCTTCTTATCGCGATGCTCAGGTAACATCGTTATTCTCTTTCTACCTGTCTCTTTCTTTCTATCCTTCATTTCTTTTTTACTATTTTATCTTGTTTATTTATTTGTTGCTTGCTTTGTTTTGTTTTGTTGTTGTTGCTCGTAACGAAAGAACGTTATTTTCTGGTTTAGTTAGTAGGAATGGTCCAAATATACATATCTATATAATATACTTTTTTGGTTTTAACGAGAGAAAAAAATTTTCTTCATCCCAAGATACAATTCGGTTAAATGGCGTTTATTCGTTCATGTTGTTTTGGTGATGTGCGTCGGCGATTATTTCCTGAAATTTAAAATAAACAGAAAAAGTAAAAAAAAAGAGAGAAAAAAGAAAAAAATTGAAACTTCAATTAAAATTCATTCATTCGTTCGTTGATGATCATTAATTTACATATTCATGTTGATGACGCTTACATTCGTGTTACATTCAATGGCCTCGTTAACCGCCGCTGCAACAGCTTTGTCGCTAATTTCAATTTCCTCGATGGCCTGTAACGTGAAACAAACAAAACAAAAAATACGATAACAACAATAACAATAACAATATCAATATAATATACTTTTATATTATCAAAAATAATCAGATGGCCCCCAACAATCGTCATTAAATTTCGAAAACAAAAATTCGGTATCATAAGGGAATCATCATTTTAAAAATTCTAACAAATAAAGTTTCCAAGAGAGATGTGTTCCTGTTTAGAGTCATTTACAACCACCCTCTAAGCTACGCTAAGAGTCATAGCTTTCCCATAATCATATATTCTTTCAGTCATCATCATTGATGTAGACAGCAAGCAGACTGCTTTTCTTTCTATATGTTGGAATAAAAGTGGTAGGACAGTAGGTACATTTTTCCCCTAAATCATTGTTACCTTAGTGACCGAAGCAACATCCTCAGTAATGGCGGGGGCAGATGGGGGTGAAGCAGGAACTTCGATTGGGATTGCTGGTGGTGCCACCTTAGGAGCAGCTTCTTCAATATTATTTTCTGTCGTAGCAACTTCATGAGTCACGGCTTTTTCCACAACTGGTATTTCGACTTCCGGAGCGCTCTGTAAAAGATCACGTTAGACAGACATATTTTAACGAATTATTATTCCCCAATTTCAAAGCGTTTCCTGCCAATGACCCCAAAAAACCAAACATGCTTCTTTTTATGTTTTTTTTAATTTTTTTTTTTTATTATTATCATAAGATCAACTTAAGAACGTGAATCGATTCTGTCGGTGAACCCCCCATTACAAAATTGAAAGGAAAAAGTCAATAGAAAATAAGATAAAATAATAAATATATGATTACTAATATTTCTATAATAATTTAGACTAGATATTTATTTATAATCGAATGCTTTGACGAAAAGAGAAAACTGGACAAAACAGACACAAATATAACAAACTAGACAGAATCGTTCACCATGCTTCGAGCAGTTCAAAGGACATGTGTGAACATCCCGTTTGAAAAATTCCCAGTATTGAATAATAATAATAATAATAATAATAATAATAATAATAATAATAATAAAATAAAAGAGAAAAAGTAAAAAAGAAAACTCATTGCATGCAGCATTTACAACAGGATGATGCTTCTTACGAAACGTAATTTGGATGCAATTATTACGTGAAAAGAATAATATAAAAATTCGACAATATTTACGAATAAAAATATAACGATAAATTAAAAATAGAGTAAAGAAAATATAAGAGTAAAAAAAAAAGACAGAAAGAATAGCAGAAGAAAAAATAATAATAAAATAAAAAAAAAATACACTTTATCGTCAACTCCAAAGGTTGCTGCTCTATCAAAGGCGCCAGTTTTCTACTGAATGATCTAAATGATTAATTAAAAAAAAAAAGATCTCACGTCTATCAATGAGTTTCACTCTATTTAATATATAAATTGATCTAATATTCGAGCGAACTATACGTCATATTAAATATATTAATAATAATAGAAAATTTGTCTAATTATATGACGTGTTTCTAATAAGAAGAAACTGATTTGCTATATGCTTTCTTCAAATCTATTTAACATACACATAATAATAATAATAATAATAATCATTACCGAGCTCTACAATTAATTTGGCTCTACTCTTTTCAGCGTACTTCGAATAGATTTTGTTTTTTTTTGTTTTTAAATGTAAAGCCAGGTTAATAATAATATATATCGTGTCAAGAAAACCAAGAGGCAAACAACGCAAGGAATTTTTTCTTGGGCAGTAATAATTTGGTGATATGGTATTAAAGGGAGGAATGAATTGTTCAAGGTGTGACAATATAAAACAGGCTTTGGATGATCAGGGGATTATCGAAGAGGAAAGAAACAAGTGATTCCTCCTCCTCAATTCATTTGTTTGTGTGTTTAACAGAATAAAGGATAAATGTTTGACGAGACCCTCAACATAGACACTTAAAGATAAGAGGGGTTGCTTTCGGACAGAGAGTGGGAGAATGATTGATCCATTGCAAGGAAGTCAAGATTTATTTGGTTAAAGCAACATGGATAAAAGGTCTATTATCATTTTGATTAGAAACAAAAGAGCACCGGGGTAAGCAAGTGAGTGAGTGAGTGAGTGAGTGAGTAAATATGAGTATAAAGGCAAGAGTTTCCTGGAGCGACGACCAAAAAATACGTAAACGTGCAAAGAAAACCCTTTATATTTATGAAGATGCAGTCGTGAGGTTTTGTCATTTTGACCCCTCCATCAAGAGAATGAGAAAATATGATTGATATTGGATATGAGAGATATTGCCGGGAAAAAGATTTCATGACACTAGGGATATATCAATGTCGATCACGAGACAATAAAAGATAGAGGGAGAAAGAGAGAGCAAGAGAGATAGAGAGAGAGAGAGAGAGAGAGAGTAAAAGATTGAAAGATAAAGATTTGGGGTGAGTAATAAAGAAGAAAGAATGTGATGTTTGGATAAGACTGTTATACTTGATAAGATAAGGGGAAATATTAGAGGAACAATTGGTGGTGTCATCGATATATACGTATACATATATATACATATGTATGTGTATATAAATGTATACTTATTTATCGAATATCTATACGACAAGAGACAAGAAGATATTTGTGGTGGTGCGGACCGTAACGACGAGAGATATACTTGGTAACGAGCGAGCACTGCCAAAGTGTAATTTGGCTGGCCCCAATTCATGCCAGGATGTTGTGTCGCATGTTAGTCACCTGGTGGTTCTCCTGGAAGACAGTTGAGACATCGTCGTTCAACGATCGACACGATAAGGTATCCTTCTGGTTTTCCGTCTCCGCCAGGGATTGGGTTAACCTGTCCTTCAATTCAACTTCTGAATCATTGTACGAACTGAGGCTCTGAGATAACGATTCCGTCTTCAAATCATCGGTCTGGTCGTCGTGCAACTGAGTTTGCGAGCAATCATTTGTCGTTGCTGTTGTTGTGCTAGACACGATACTGGATTGGATGATAGTACTTGGATTTGTTGGGAAAACTTCTGTTTGGTTACTGGACGCGTGACTAATGTTACATTGAGGTGAGGAAGGAGGAGAAGATAATGGTGCAGGTGGTGGTGGTGGTGGCGGCATTGAGAATACTGAGCTATTTTCAATTAAAGGAGAAGAAGAATCTTCATCCTCTTTGGTAGGAAGACAAGGGGGAGGTGGAGGAGTGGAAGGTGGTGATGGTTGTAATGAACATGTTGTGATTTCTGTAACAGTACTTAAAGATGGACTCTGTCTTTCCGTGGGAACGTCTGTCGTAACTATTGTGTCTTTTTGTAAATTCGACGAGAATTCATTGGCATTTTTTGTCAAGTTCTCTAAAGATTCTTTTGATTGTACGTTATTCAATTGGTCGTTGGAAGCGACTTCGGTGATAGTAGTCGATGTTATTGAAGAAGATGATGGAGGTGGCGGTGGTGGTGGTGGATGTGGTTGTTCAGGTATAAGTTCCTCAAAGGATTCTCTTGGTTCTGACATTGGCAAAGTGACTGAACTTTCGACTTCAGCAATTTCGATTATATCTTTTTCTCCATCTGCAAGGTTCTCAATAACAGCTATTGTTTCTGTCACAAGTTGGTCATCGGGTTTCATAACGTCTTCAGGAGGAGATGGAATTTCTACTTTGACTACTTCCTCTACAAGAACATTTTCCACTAGCAAGCTTGTGTCTGATGATACTGGGCTTGTGTCGATTTTTTCTTCACTCAAAATCTCATCAACGGTATTTTCAGTTTCTACTTTAGGTGCCACAATTTCGATTATTTGGACTTCATCATCTTCTGTCTCTACTTCTTCACAAGGTATGACTACTGCTGGTTTAGCTTCTACGATATGTTCTTGATAAGTTTCTTCAGGACTTAAAACATCTTTGGACGGATTTGAATTATTAACTTTTTCCAGTATGATCACCTCGTTGCCTTCCACCTCGCATGATGGTGTGTCATCAATAAAAATCTTCTTGTCATCTTTGATGCATGTATCAATTGGATCATTCGATACTTGTTCAGGTTCAATAGGAGTATCAGAAATGTCTTCCGTCTTTAGAATATTAGTATCGTCAATTTGTAATTCCTCAGTCGTCTGGATATCTTCGACAATATTATCCGAAACATTAAATTTAGGGCTTTTAGGAATATCTTCGACAATAGTTACTACACGTTCCAAAATGTCTGTATTAGTCTTACCAGTTTTTAGTTCGGAATTAGGGTTAGTCTTATCGGGTTCCGTCAGTACAGAAACAGTCTTATCATCAGTCTTGTTAACGATACCCACAGGTTCGTCTTTTGTAAGCAATAGAGTGGAATCTACATTGGCAGGGATTATTATATTTTCGATAACTGTAGTTGTTGATTCAAGGTTTGAGAGAATTGGAGATGATTGTTCGAGTGGATCGTTGTTAGAAACGCGAGTGAGCAATGAGACTTCAGGTGCGTCTTCTAGAGGGTCTTGGTGTAATATTGGAGGTAAAGTTGGATCGACGTCAGTTGTTATAACAACGTCCTTATCTATAACAGGTTCAACAGGCAATTCTAAAGCTTTAGCAAGAGCTGTAACAGTTACGGCTGTTGCTGCTGCTGCCTGCTGAGCTTGTTGTAAGGGCGATGGTTCGATTGGAGTTGGAGGAGGACTAGATGGGAATTGGGATGGGAGATCCTCACTGGTTTTCCTCTCAATGATAGACGGCGTATCGACTGGTTGAACTTGGAAGACGGAGGCTTTGATTGAGTCTGTTAAGGACCGACCACCGTCGTCTGCTGGACTGACCTCAACTACTTTCTTTTCCCCCTCGACATTTTCGACATCTCCTTTCTTATCCTCTAGAGGAACGGGAGTAGGGGCGGAAGGAGTGGGCTCCTCTTTCTTTTCCTCGACAACTGGGCTAGTTGCTGGTGGCGTCGTTGTTGCTGCTGCTGCTGCTGCGACTGCTGTTGGTGCTTCTGTTGATTGTTCTGGTGTCGTAGCATCTGCTGGTGCTGCTGCTGGTGCCGCTGTTGTTGTCGTCGTCGCCGTCGTCGTTGTTGCTGTTGTTGACTCTTCGTTTGCCTCTACTGCCGGTGATAATGGCGTACTGCTGTTATTTTCTGACGGACTGCTTGCTTCGGATTTGTTTTCTTCCGCTGGACTGCCGCTCACAGCTCCTTGATCACAATCCTCACCGCTCTAAAACAATTTCGATAAAATTGTATTAGATAAAGGGAAATACGAATTAATATAATTTTATTTATTATTACGATAGTTCTAAAGAAAGTAGTTCGCATTTCTCCGTGTGCCAGAACATTAGGAAGGATAAACCGATAAAAAGTGAGTTAGCTTCCAAGAAAATAGAAAATCAATTGCAAACAGATCAATGCCCAAGGCAATTTGGGATATATCTTCTCTAACACGCTTGCTTTGCTGGTGAAGACTTTGGCTCGTCACCAAAAGGAGAAAAGGAACTCTATTGAAAGTTGGAATGTTGCCAGGGAATCATTCGTGTATGCTAAAAAAAGAAAGAAAGAAAGGAAAAGAGAGAGAGAGAGAGAGAGAGAGAGAGAGAGAGAGAGATCATTGTCCGTAACAAGTAGGAAAAATAAACTTCCGGTTAACCTACCACCTTATTCTGATGAAGTTCAAGTAAATGCTGAATGAAACGAAGAAAATATAGCAATACAAGTTGAAAAAAAAGTTTTGATGATTTCATGGCAATAGTATTTTTGCGTGTGAAAAAAGTGTATCGATTTGGAACTGTCGAAAATGGCGGACACAATATTTTTGTCGAGCTCCGTTATTTTTTTTGTCATTTCGATGTTTTACAGATCGAAATTGCGAAAGGACATTTATTCGGTTCGTCGGAGCGTGTCCGACGATAATATATTGCAACGTATAAACGAAGAGAACGGTAGAAAAGCCATGTGGTGTGTTACTTTTTGTGTCTTTCAATATATATATGTATACCCTGATGCATACGTACATATTTACCATCGGTTTAATATATGGATATGTATACGCGACTGCATGCTGATTGCATTAAATGCTTTTAACAACAAAAAAGTAGATCTGTAAAAAAATATATTATATACATATTCCAATTCGTTGTAGATTTTTTGAAAGATTTGCCAGAAGAATTTGAGTAACAGGAAATTGCATTGAGAGTAACAACAAAACAAAGATTAAAATAAATGTATAAACAAATTGAATCGACTAATTTGCGTCCTATAGTTGTTGCCGCAAGAATATTTTACTTAAAATAACGAAGTAGAAAAAAGAGAATGCGAGGAAAAAAACGAAAGACTGAACTTTCGAGTCAGCGCCGCCTTTCTTCGTTCTATTTTCGGTTTTCAAACGCATACTACTACTACTACTATTTTCTTCTACCATTAACCATTACTTCGAGCTTTTATGCTTACCTACGTGCAAGCTAACTTACATCTCGATATTATGTTCTTGAAAATGCGTTGCCATTGTTCCACTATCGTTGTCAATAATAAATCAAACAAAAAATAAAATATTCAATTAATTTGAATAATTTGTAATTACGTGACCGAATGATCCATCATTAGTTAACGTTCTAAATTTAATTTCAAGTTGACAATGATATCTCGATGGATATAGCCAGTTAAAGTACCTGTGCCAACATTTTTTGGGATCATTAATTGTTAGTTAAGAACCTGCCGTCTATGTAGATAATCGATAACACAATCCCCTTTTGTTTCTACGATTAGTTATATTAATTGCAACTGTTCAAAAGGAGTTAGTTCCTTCCATGTATATTATAAATCATAATCTTTCTTAGGACTTAATTGCGTCTAAGATGATACGAATACGATCGCATCGAATTGCGTTCAGTATGTATATGTTTTATTGCGTAGTATTGAATCGTGTTACGATGAGCTAATAATATGTTTTATAACACTTTCATATATTAAATATTATTTGTATGTATGTATTGTATTGTATGTATGTATGTATATAATTTGTCAATCATACCGCAATGTCGGCTTTCCGCCATATAAATGGGACTCCTGCCAGAAAGTAATGAGCTCCACGGGAAAGGGCACCTGCAGCTCTACATACGCCATTGGTCATACCTCGTCCTAATTTAATGACCGATTCCATCGTCGAAATACACAATTCTTTTTATTTTTATATATATAAAAAGTGTATATATCTTTTGTTCAATCTAATTTGTTTCCTTTTTTTTTTTAAATTTTATTTTTTGTCCTTCAAACACTTCTCTCTCGTTGTGTTTAACTGTCACGAATTATAAAAACTTGATCAAATAGTTATATTTTAAACAAACGATCGAGATATATAGATAAATTAAGCAATTTTAATGTCAGAACAACTGGAAAGTTGAACAGAAACTACTGTAGGAGAATACGAATTCTTACATTTACATTTAGTACGGTATTATTATCCTAGGTTATTTTCTACTTTGTACAAGATTATCCTTCAAAAGAAAAGGATTACTGTATAAGGACATGTTTTCTATTATTATTATTCATATTGAGTTTAAGAAACAAAAAATGAATAACAATAAACAATAAGAAAAAGTGACTTTTAAAATTGTACTGGAATAATAATAATAATAATAATAATAATTATTATTATGTCTTAGTTCTATTAATAGAAATACGAATCGTCGTGGTGGCTCATGGCCGAGTGAAAAATAGCATTGAAATATGAATCATTATCGTTTACTGTTAAACCCCTCTCTCTCTCTCTTTCTCTCTCATGCTACCAACTACTATTTATATAAGAAAATTAATCAAATTCGCGAATTGGAATACAACAAGAAAAATATAATATTTTTCAAATAATATATCTCGATCGATCGTTTTATTAATTTTTCGTTCACCATAAAAGATCAATGATGAAAAAATAGTTGTAATTAAAACAAAACAAAACAAAAAAAAAACGATACACACAATATAGCAATGAGAAACACGCGTAAACCCCAAAATGAAGTATATATATATATATATATATATATCACTTATATACTCTGAGAGAATGATCCGTGCAAACTGTTTGCCGATGGCGAACTACTCGGAGAAACCAGTGAGTTCACGAGGATTTATATAGAAAGCCACGACTACGACGACTACGACGACTACGACGACTACGACGACTACGACGACGACGACTACAACGACTACGATTAGAGAAGACGACGAAGAGGATCGTCCCACGTCTTCTTAGTATGAGAAAGAAATAGAAAGATAAAGAGTTCGGATGTAGAATGTCACAGGAAGAAAAAGAACAAGAAAATACAAAATTGCACTATTTTTTAAATCTTTTTCTTTATAAATATAAATTGAACGAATAGATCAAATGAAGATTGAACGATAAGTATAAATTACTATGACGAGAAATGAAAATTACGAATTGTCGAATCGAATTGGCGAATAAAAATGAAATAAATAAATATTGAAACTAATTATAGAATGAAAATAAAACAAATATATGAAATAACTACGTCGTATAAGATTGCGCGAGAAATACACAAGCAAAATATGATCGTTTTCTCGTGTCAAACTACACGGCATGCGAACGTGTACTGCTTCTTCTTGTTTATCGAAATTGAACTCAACCAAGGGAGAGAAAGAAAGAAAGAAGGACAGAGAGAAAAAGAGAGAGAAAAAGAGAGAGAAAAAGAGAGAGGGAGAGTTACAGAGATAATAAATTTATCATTTTCATTTAAAATACTAATTTTAAATAGACAAAATAAAAAAAGATGCGATTAGAGGAGACAAACAGTAATTCCTACCACATATACGTTTTTATCTTCTTATTAGTTTTATTAATTAAATCATTGGACGATATTTATAATTCCAATGTATTTACCGAGAATTATCTTGAATAAAGATAAAATAAATAATAATTATTTTGTTGTTGGAAGGAAACGCGCGCGACCCACGTTATATATTCCTTTGTTAAACCGGAATAAAAGGGACGACGACGACGACTACGACGAGTTTGGAAATTGAGAAAGATTAGAATAGAACGGGGATTAGAATAATATTAAAGAGAGAGAAAGATAGAGAATAAGAATTAGATGCATTAGAAGAGTGCAACAAACCGGTCTTCAACATTTAAACGTGGGAGGAACGTGAAACTAGGAAGAGAGAGTAGAAACGATTAGAATGAGAGAAAGAATAAAAGAATGAAAGAACGGAATAATAGAATAAAGATACAACACTACTAGTAATACCTAGCGTTGAACTAGAAACTTATAGTTAAAGCTAGCACATATGGTCTAGTAAAAAGAAAAAAATTAACACCACAAAACCACCATAGGTTTCTATTCTTGGATAACCTAAAGAAAAGTTAAGGAACATGATAGTTATATAGTTTGAACAGATAAATATGATTTCAATAATAGCGATGGCTTTCAAAATCTTCAAATTTGATCAAACGGTTATTGTATTTTGATAAAATATTGTTCGCATCTTATTCACGAAAGTTTGAAAGGAAAGTTTGGTGTAAAGTAATACGAAATCTTGAATATTTTCGCAAAAGTTATTTGCATACGAGTTAAACTAGTAACAACTACTAAGTTGTTAATGTAAAAATAGCTTATCCGCATTCAAACTCGGCACTGACCATCCTCTACCGTATTTAGTAACGAGACCTAAAGCATTCAAGGATCAAGTTTAAATGAAACGTGCTTTTTATTTGATTTATTTCTTCGTCAATTATTCATCGTATATAAAGTATATATTATTCTTTCAACTAAATAAATGTATAAATAGATTTTCTTCTCTCTCCCTCTCTAATTAAATTACAAATTAATTGATAAAAGCATAATTGGAAGGAAAAGAATTTAAGTTTAATTTTGAAGAAATAATTGAAGAATTAAAATTGATAAGGTAAATTAAAAAAAAAAAAATGTATATATATATCGCATAAAGATTGTTATATCAATTTAATAGAAATCCGTGTAGAGCTCTGCTTTGCTAAAGTAACCCAGTTTTAAGATTTAACTTCCGAATAGCATGCATGATGGCAGCATCGAGCAAGAAGTCTAACCAACTAACAACACACGACGAATTATCATCCTTACTCGATTGAGAGAGAGAGAGAGAGAGAGAGAGACACGAATATACAATGTTAGATTTTACTTTACCAACGGAGAAACTTTGAAATGGTATTAGAGAGATGATTAAACAGATGGGGTT